TTAACGGACGAGTCAGCAGTCGAGTGCAGCATCAGGCAAACGGCACAGGCGGCGAGAGCAGCGCAGGTCAGTCAGCGAGCAGTCAGCAACAGTCATCGCGGAGTCAGGCAGGCAGTCAGTCCACAGTCAGGCAGTAGCTGCTGAGGTAAGCAGTTCGAGGCAGGCAGCAGTCAGTCGCAGTCAGGCGCAGTCGCAAGTGCGAGTCGCATTTCAGGCAGTCAGTCAGTCGCAGTCAGCGAGCAGTCAGTCACAGTCAGGCAGCAGTCAGTCCGCTGGTTGAACAGGTCCAAGTACAAGATCCAGCGCAGGCAGCAGTCAAGATCGCAGTATCCAGTTCGCATTCAGCAGCAGTCGGAGTCGTCATTCAGCAGCAGTCAGTCAGTCGCAGTCAGGTGCATTCAGGCAGCAGTCAGTCGCAGTCAGGCAGCAGTCAGTCGCAGTCAGTAACAGTCAGGCAGGCAGTAGTCGGGCAGTAGTCGGGCAGCAGTCGGCAGCAGTCAGGCAGCAGTCGGCCGGCGGCAGCAGCTTCAGCTCATCATGTTTTGCAGTGTTCGGTTTGAGTCTGCAGCCTGAAATCATTTCTGTCTCACAGCACTCGATTTGTTTCTCCTCTAGTCCTCTGCTGACTTTAACTCAACTCTTACACTGAACATCTATATTTTATTAATATAGAAATATATTTATATAAAAAGTCAAAAGTTAAAATGACATTGTTAATCTTTTTAGTACTGAGCTTTGATTAGTGTTAAACCTGCCTGACTCTGTTGTTCTGCTGTAATAAGGACTGAGCTGCTCTCAGGTCAGAGCTACAGAAAGTCAGAAGGCTCAAAACAAACCAACAGCTGTCCAAACATCTGCCTTCATCAGCATCTTCCTCAAAGAGGATGATGAAGAAACTGTTGTCCTTAATGATTTTTGTGCTTCCTAAAATACGTATTCTGATTCTTTGGTTTCATAAATCCGTTGTTTGCGACCCAGACGCGCTGAATAATGTAGTCGAGGTAAAAGCTGGATGAAGCTAGCTGACCGTATTTTACTACGTTAACCAGTCGCGTTGACTGGCCGGCTAACCTATAAGGTGTATCGTTAACAGTTACATTAGCTACAGGATCATAACTGTGGGCACTTAAAGGTGAGTCTGGTTTCTTTTATACAGTATTAGTGATTCTCACGTATCGCTCAGGACCCCAAACAGGACAGGACCCCAAACCCCACAGGAATAACACCTCAACAGCGACACCTACCAGACCATCACAGTTGCTGATGGCAACCGCCGTGTCCTCCATGTTGGACACCTCTCCTGTGTAGAGGCAGCCGGTGTCTCTTATTGGCTGAGAGTGTTTGTGTCCTGACTCCTCCCACCACTCCATGGTGGCTGTGGGGGCGACGAGACGAGAGTTCGGACGCAGCCGCAGGTGGAGCTCCTGACCAAACACTGTCACATTGTAGAAAAGCTCCACCTCCTCAGCCGCGTAACCCTGCACCCTCCAGCTGGACGGTGATGTTTCTATGGGCGGGGCCTGGTGTGATGAGTTTGTGGGAGCCTGTCTTTTGTTTCTTCTTGTGTCGGTGGGCGTGTCCTCTGCAGAGCGTCTTTTAATCCGGGGTTGGTGGTTGGTGAAGACGGAGGCTGACAGGAAGAGCCCCTCTGGGTTGGTCCTGATTGGACGAATGACACTGAACTCTGACAGAACCTGATGGAGAGAATCTGAGAAAGAATAAAAATAACCTGTGAGACCTCTTTTGTCAATAATGTCAGCATGATGTTATTGATGAGTGTCAGCTTCATGGTTGATTGTGATGTCAGCATGAGTGGTTCTCCCTGTCAGATGTCAGCGTCCATGTTATTCGTGATGTCCACGCACTCCGATGCTTTATGTTGGATGTCAGCGTCATGTTATTTTGTGTTAATGTGATGTTATTGTGATGTCAGCGTGATGTTATTTTGTGTCACTGTAAGGTAAGTGGTAAGTACGGTATATATATATATATAAATATTGGTTGATTTAGCATATTTTGGAAAATATGGAGTGATGGACAATTTAGTGGATGTGCTCTGTAGGAGGTCAGGGTAATGTATTTAATTTTTTTATGTTCTGAAATCTGAAACGCTTAATAATTAAACACATGGTGGTGCTATTGAAGACGTGTTTTAATACGTTTAACATATCTCCACAGGTCACCTGTGTACCATATTTGATGACTTTAGCATGTATAGTATTTGAGATTTTAACGTGTATAAGTGGCTCCCATTGAACTTTACTATTTACGATTATAGCCTAACCCTAACCCTAGCGCTGATCAATGCCCTGTATCTACAGCACTGACCTATGCCCGGTATCTACAGCAGTGGTTCCCAACCTTTTGCTTTAAGGGACCCCTTTTCTATCATTAAGTAAACTGATGACCCCTGACTAAATTATATATTTTATGGATATTTCATATTATATTCAATGCATAAAAATAATGGTATATAACAACTAGTTAGTGGCTAAGAACTAGTGAACTAGTGAACACAATAACTACACGAAGTCTGTATAAAATTTGTAATTTGGATGAATTTTGAGCAGATTATTTCCTGTAAATATTGCAAATTGATGAGATGAGTTTTCCTGATATTTTTGGGAACTGTTTATCAAATTGTCTGTCTGTATTATGTATCTATTTATTTTTGTAACAATTATACATACTTAATATGCTTCTTTTTTCCCAAATACAGTGTTTTATTCTCCCTAAACCTTGTTCTATTAGCTCTTTGGTTGTTTTAACTGCATTCTTTTCTACTGCAGGATGATGAGATATAGGCCTACTGCTTATAGTAGGTAAGCTTTGGAATCCAAAGGCTCCTGGCTCCTCTCGCTGCATGTTGAAGTGTCCTTGAGCAAGACACGTCGCTTTGTGAGTGTGTGTGAAATAGCTTAGTTTCCGTTCGGGTGAGCAGTTTGCACCTTGCATGGCAGCCATCAATGAGTGAATGTGTGTGAATGTGTGTGAATGTGGCTGTAGTGCACAGCGCACTGAGTGGTCGAAAGATTAGAAAGGTGATATACAAGTACAGTCCATTTACCATTTAAATATTGTTGTCAAATGGAGTAAATCAGACCTTTTATTAACTGTCTTTGCAATTAGTGTCAAATTATTGAATTTCACTAAAAAAATATGAAATAAAGTTATTTTTATTATTGTTCTTAATGTCCGTGCTGTTCAGTGGGAGCTGTGAGTGACAGACAGCACTATACCTCACCAAGTCCCTCCCTAGCTGCCAGGTTTTACAGGAAATATTTAAATATAGGTAACAGACCATTAATGATAAGTGATACCCAAACACAAACCTATAAATCTATAAGGAGTTTGTCAAAGTACAACACATGCAAATTGCCAAACATTACCACTAAATCCAAAATGGCTAACTGCCTTTTGGGTTTTCGATATGGGTCCCAGAGGCTTTTTTGTACGTCTGAACCAACTTTCAAACATATTGGTGAAACGTGCCTTGGGGGCTACATTTAAAAAATAATAATTCCTTGCATTACTACAGGGCCTTGCAGTGGTCGCTGTTCGGACCATAATAAACCAACACAAGTCCCTTCAGGGCTTAAAGCCCAAATAAAATCAGGTCACAGACATAAGCGAGGATCTTTACTTATTCCAGTTGTTACAAATGTCAAATGGATTTTGAACTGGAACATAATCTCAAAGATCTGGATTCACTTTAAACTCTCTTAACTCACTAAACTTGTCAATGCAGTCTGGTGAGAGTGATTCATAAATATGCCACGTTTAAAGTGTAAAATCTGAAAACCTGAGAAACAGAAAAAACATCTAGAACTGAGAGCCAATCAGATAATCAGATAGCAGCTGAGGCTGATCTCAGATCAGCAGAAACCACAGAGACAGTGTGTGACCTCTGACCTCTCTAACCTCAGACAGAAGGGGAGCCGCCTTTTTCCTTGTTAAATCATCTGAAATACTCTTCATGCACACACACATACACACACACACAGGATATGATGAAATATGATCTGAATGGTTCACATTCCCCAAACGCCAGAAACACATAAACACAAAGATTTATGGGAAAAACGTGGCGAGGAAAGTTTTCTGACTCAGAATCAGAAAAGAGGAACGTTTCCATCTGCTGCTGCTGGAACCACAAGAACACTACTGGGAACACTGGAAACACTGGGAGACTGTCAGCTGCTCACTGATTGGTCAAGTTGTTTATGAACCCTCACTGCAGAGGTCAGAGGTCACAGCCTGGAGGACCAAACAACCACAGAAGAATAACGAACTGGAGGATAACTAGTACTGCCAATTAGAAGTATTGATGGTAGCAGTAGAAGTATTAACAGTAGCAGTAGAAGTATTAATGGTAGCAGTAGAAGTATTGATGGTAGCAGTAGTAGTAGTTATAGTATACAGAAGTAGTAGCATTAGTACCAGTATAGTAGTAGCAGTAGCAGTAGTAGTAGCAGCAGTTGTAGTAGTAGTTTTAGTAGAAGTATATAGTAGTAGCAGTATAAAGTAGTAGCAGTAGTAGTAGTAGTAGTAGTAGTAGCAGTATTAGTAGTAGTATACAGTAGTAGCAGTATACAGTAGTAGTA